CATGTAAAATGATCATCTAAAACGACATAAGATTGGGCTGGGGATATAGCTTACAGGCAAAGCGCTTGCCTGGCAAGCTCAAGGTCCTGAGTTCAATTCCTGGTTACCTTCCCCCTAAAAAAGAAAAAAAAAAAAACCCACATAAGTGTGAGAGACAAAAATAGGAAGCAAAAACAAGGATGAAAAATAGAAAATAGTAACAGATATGTTAACCCAAATATTAAGAGCTTTGTTTTAAAATTATTCATAAAAATGGATAACAATAGAAAAATATAAAACTTATGTTTCACTTTAAATAAATAAAGATGTGTACCAAAAATAAAAGAGTGAAACCAGGCATGATAATGCATGCCTATAATCTCAGCACTTGGGAGGCTAAGGCAGGATGATGGGTTTCAAGCCAGATTGGGTTATGCAGTGAGCCCCTATCTCAAAAAACAAAACAAAACAAAACAAAACAAAACAAAACAAAACAAAACAAAACAAAGTACCCAGTAAAACAAATGAACAAATGTAAGTGTTTGGAGGAAGACATTCAGGCTAACATTATTAAAGAAAGCAGGAAGACAGCCTGGTCATCTGAAGCTGGGTAATGCGGCTCCGGCGCTGCTGTTCCTTCCAGGCCCATTTAAAATCCCTCCTAGCCATCAGTCCTCTCAGTGCTGGGTTTCAGCCATCCTGAGTGCACCCCTGCTGCCTTCTCCCTACATATCCCCTCCAACCTCCAGGCTCTTGACCACATCTTTCCAACGTGAAGCCTCACCACATCAGCTCCATACAACAGCCAGGTTAGAGGTAGAAAGTGCCCCTGGACAAGGACTGAGACACACAGCATGAAGGCTGCCACCCTGAACTCTTCTGAAGAACACAGCGCTCATCACTGTCTCTGGGTTGAAAAAGCTACAAGAAAGTCCAGAGAACAGCAGGGAAGGAAGGGGTTAAAAGAGCTGAGCTAGGCAAAGTACACAGCAAGAAGGAATCATGGTCCAGTGAGCACTAGTGCAAGACATTATACACTCAACTAGAGACTTTCTCTTATGGCTCTACCCCCCAGTATGATGGCATTTAGAAATGATGCCTTTGGTGTAAATCAGCTTTACATAGGCTCTGATGGTGGGTACTCCTTGTGGGATCAATGTTCTCATTAGGGACACCACTGAGCTGGCCACACCACTACAAAGCCCAGTAAGAAGCCCATAAGCCCGGAAGAGGACATGCTGTGCTTTGAGAACAGTTCATCCCCTCTGAAACTCATGTTGAAGTGTAATCCTCACCATGAGGGATTTGGAGAGTGGGAATCTAATTCATGGTGTTCACAGGGAGGGTCTTTGGGAAGTGATTACCATGAGATAAGGTCACAGTCTTGGTCTCCATGATTGAATACTAGTGGCTTTGTAAGAAGTAGAGGGATTAGGATACACACACACACACACATACACACACACACACACACATGCTCCTTATCTCCTGCCACGTGATACATCAAGACAACCATCACCAGATGCGGCCCCTGAACTTTAAATAAAAATTGGGAGCCCAAATAAGCCTCTTTTTTTAATAAATAAATAAATAAATAAATAAACAGCCTTATGACTTGTCTCTAGATGTATCCCCAAAGACTCACGCAGTCAAAGGTAGGGCTTTTCCAGAGGTGGCTGAATTTAGAGTGTGTGATGCTGGAATTGAGAGTGTGTGATTACTAAATCAGTCTGCTGATTATTTGTCACTGTCCTAATCCTGGTAGTCTACATAAAACAAAAAAAACAAAAAAAAAACAAAAAAACAAAAAAAAAAGGAAGGTTCAGAAAGAAGCTGCTAAGGTTACCTGTTGGTTCCCTTGCTTGCTTTGCTACCTTCTGCTCACCACCAACTACCTCTCCTGTGATGCTAGTCTGCCATGTTACCCTCCATTGGAATAAGCTGACTATGGACTAAAACTTCTACACACAGTGAACCAAAAACACCTTTCCTCCCTTAACTTTGGGTGTTAGGTATTTTGCCTCAGCAAGGAGAAAAATAACTATGACAACCAGTCTGTCGCATTGTGTTTACTACAGAAAGTAGGTTCAGCACTCTCACCAGAACTTGACCATGCTGGTACCATAAGCTTGGACTTCCAGTGTCAACTATAAGAAGATAAATTTTTGCTGTGGAACTGCCCTTTCTGTGGTATTTTGTTAGGTCAGTAGGCATTTAAAATATTTTATTGTCAAATTACTGCATTTGTTTTATAAGTGTATAAACTGGGATTCAATTGTCTAATAACCACAGACACTGGTTTTACTTCATCAGTATTTCCTCTTCTGGAGGGCAAGGAGTTTATACAGCTTGCCCTGGATCTGACTCACAGTAACTACATATTTCTGATGAGTTCCAAATCTTTTCTGACCAAATGTAGTCTCCTAACATTAAAAGTCTGAAACAAGACACTCTCTAAAGTGCTTCTGCTGCACGGAAGTTATTTAAAATATATGAAAGAGGGAAAAATACAAATATTTTATTTCATAGTTCTGGCAATTGAACCTTGGACCTTGGGCATACAATACAAATCTGCTACTACTGGGCTAAATCACCAGTCCTGAGATTATCTACAACCCCAAAAGATCTTATATTCTGTTCTTGTACAATCATATAAATAGAAAAGCAGAATAAAGTCTAAATCAACTACTCCAGCTAGATCTACTGAATCATGGGCAGTGACCAATGCTGAATGTGATCTCTGATACTGGATATCCTGGCATTGTCATGACATTGTGCAGTGAAATCAATAGCCCCTCCTCAGTTGTTCAGTATCCGTCCTGTACCCGAGCATATGTCTGCTACATATAAATGTGTGGCAGGTCACATAAAAAGACTGAGGCATGCTTGTCCTACTCTGTGAACACTAAGGAGAAAGGCAGCATGCAAGTATACTGATATGCTGCAGGAAAAAGTTAACACAGCTGAGATCCTGTTTTTTACTCGGACATGTACCATGGGTGGTGGAAGGCAGATGAATCAGTGTTATTATAATTGCCTGTATCTGTGTCTGAGCAAAGACAGAGTGAGTCAGTCACTTGGGGCTCTTAGTTGAAAGGAGGCAAAAGCTCCCTGACCCCCACATTTTAACCTAAGTCTCTGCCTTCTGTTTTTCATCCTCATCATCCTTTGGTCAGGTACAAGCTTGCAGGCTAGCTGCTACATAAGTGCAAGCCAAAAACTCTTCTTGGAAACCTCCAAATTAGGGGAAAAAAAATATAAGTCATGCAGAAAAGGTAAGTGAGGTCACTGAAAGAGAAAGCACATCATTTCTCATTAAAAATAAGCTTTCCAGAGCTATGGCAAAGTCTGCATGCCGTTTCAGCCTGTTGAAGACTATTTATTACAGTTTCTATCTGGATGTACCCCAAAGCCTCAAGTGCTTCTACTGGGGGCTTTGTGGAGGCGACTGGATCATGCCAGTGTGACACTCAACAGTGAATTAGTGAACTAAGGAGTTTATAGCTAAATGTGATGCTGGGAGGTGCAGTCTGGCCAGAGGAGGAGGAGGGGCACTGAGGGTATGGCTGGGAAGCATCCATCTCCTTCCTTGCCCCTTGATCCCTCTGCTTGTCTGCCATGCAATGAGCGACCATCCTCTATCATACCACTTTGCCTTGTTGCCCTGTCTCAGATCCAGCTGACTATGGACTAGAAACTTTATTAACTATGAGCCCAAATAAACCATTTCTCCTTTAATTTATGGGAGCCAAGTATTGTGTCCCAATGACAAGGGAGTAAAGACACTATTTAATAATATTATTTCTATTATTAATATGACACCAGAAATTTGCTTCAAAAGAATTTGGCAGAAGGGTCTTAAGGAGGGAAGAGTATGAAGCTGACAGAAGACAGTTCATATGTTGGGAACAGTTGAAGACAAATGAGGGGCACTTGGGGTCGTCATCCTATTCATTCACATTGTTACATGTTTGAAATTTTCTCTATTAAAACTTTAAAAAATTATATTTTTCTTGAGGAACAGATTTAATGCTTACATTCTAATAACAAAGGAATACTAGTACCTTCCAGTCTTTGAATTTTTGCCTTTACAGAAATAACCGCTTCAAAGGGTGAAACTCTCAGCTCAAAACACGTTCCAGTCAGTGTCTCAATGAAGAGCTCCATGGTATCACAGAAAAGAAGTTTGTAGTCAAATGGTCCCAGTCCCATGTTATCTTCATTGAAGAATGGGGGCTCTTTTCTGTTATCCATCACTTTGACTTTTCTAATTCCTCTGGAATATGTTGTAGGCAATTGTATTCCAGTTGTACCCAAATCAGCTTTGAACATTGGTAATATATATTGTCGTTCATGTTTTGATTTTTGTAACTAAAAAATAAGAAAAAATTAAATAAGCCTATCTGAAAATCTCATTCTTCTACACAGAATTTTGAATAACTCTGGCCCTTATGAATCCTCCAGAGAAGAGAGCCCCTGAATTCACTTAGTGTCTTTAGTCATATCGAAGGCCAAATATTTCATACTTAATTTTAAAATCACTGTCCCAGACTGTAAAATTTGCAGTAAAGGGGATCAAACTTGGGACTTTATGCATGCTAGGCAGACACTTATGCTGCTGAGAAGTCTCCCTGGTCCTTGTAAAATAGTAAAAAATTAGTATATTTTGACACTTTAATGTATTGCACTAGCCTCAGCACAGTTGCTAATATAACTGGTCAACAAATGTTATAGTTTGTATCTAGTTGTCCCCCCAAAGCCTCATGCAGTCATTGGGGCAGATTCTAGAGTTTGTGATTAATTCATGATCCAAGACTGGGATTATGAGTCTGAGTACTGCTGAGATTATGGAAGTGAGTGCTACACTCACCCTGGGGCAGATAGCCTGAAGGCAATAGGAGGAAAGGAGAGAGGCTTGCTTTGGCTGCTCTGCTACTCCTCCTCCCTTTTGGCCCTTTCTGTTCTTGCTGTTTTCTGCTGCCATGAACTTCTGCCCTCTGCCACATGACAGTGCCTTGGAGCCAGCTGAGTATGGACTGAAACTTCCACAAACTGTGACCTAAATAAATCTTACCTTCTTTAATTTTGAGTGTTGGTTATTTTGTTCCAGCAACAAGATAAGAGTGAGACAACAAGTTTTGTTGTTGTTGTTGTTGTTAATATATTTAAACAAATTCAATACATCAGTATAGCTTTTAACAAATATATTTTTTCAACATAATTAAAGTATGTGTACTAAGCCATATAAAACATAAATGTACAGCCATTGAACATTAGAATCAAACTGATTAGAAGAAACAGCAACCATCTTAACAGGTTCCTTAGAAATAAGACTCACTGAATAACTAATGAACATTTGGATTTCAGAGTATATATCATTCTATCATTAAAGAATATAACTCACAAATATATAATAGCTAATGAGTATGTGAAACAAACAACAAACAGAGCTTTTCAGTTACAAAAATTAGTAATAAGATAAAATGCACATTAGGGGCATAAGGATGATTAGATTGATAAATTGCTATTAATTGGTCAAAATCTTATAAAGAAGGGCTGGCCAGATAGCTCAGTGGACTAAAGCACCTGCTTAGGCAGGCACACCAGCATGCTGTGCTGGCCCCACCCCCGAGGCTCACTGAGAGGAGACTGAGACTGGGCGTGGTAGTGCACACCTATAATCCCAGCTCTTGGGAGGCTTAAAACAGGAGTATCACTACCAATTAGATCTGTGTAGTGAGACCCTGAATACCCTGTACTAAATACAGAGGGAAAAAAAAAAGCTTATATAGGAAAAGTTTGAGCTAGGCCTTGGGGCAACTTGTGTATTAAAAAAAAAAAAAAAAGGTGAGGAACTGAAGGTATAGCTTAACACAAAGGCCCTGCATTCAATCCCAATAACCAACCTAACCCTTCAAAGGCTTGAGACATGTTATTCATATACCATATAGTTTACACATTTAAAGTCTAAAATTCACTGTGGGTGAAACCCAGGGCCTCACACATGCTAGGCATACACTCTGCCACTAAACTAAATCCTCAGATCCTTATGATCATTTTAGAAAATTTTTATCATCTCCAAAGGAACCCTATAGGTGCACCCACTACTCCCCATTCTGACCTTTGACCAAAGGCAACCACTAAGGTTATATAATTTGCCTATTCTTGACATTTTCCACAAATAAAATGATACAATATATGATGTTTTGTGACTGGCTTCTTTCACTGAACACAATGTTTTCAACGTTCATCCATGCTTAGCCTGTATCTGCATTTCATTCTATTTCACTGCTGGATAAGTCCCTTTCAAGATATATCTCAAATTAATAATCCATTTTGATAAAGTTCCATTTGGCTATCTGTTTTTTGGTTAATACATTTTATAGCTTTGTTCTAACCCAAGGTAATAGATTTACTTATCTATATATTTTTCTAAGAATTGTATGGTTTCAACATTTGTGCTTATGTTTAATATTTGTGTGTGGTGTGAGGTAGGGGCCTTGTGATAGTTTATTGTCAGCTTGACCGGTTAAGAGATGACTAGAGTAGTGAAGCACTCTTTTACCTGTGTCTGTTTTCAGAGATGTCTGGCATACAGACCAGCGAACTAAAGCAGAAACACCTGCCCTAACTGTGGGCAGAACTATCCTAGAGGTCTATAAACTGGAAGGAAGGAAAGGGGAATGAGCTGAAAGCTGTTCTATGTGAACAAGCATGATTCAGCTTGAGTGGCTGAGTTTTCCTCACAACATTTGTTGAGTAGGCTATCTTTTCTCCAATGTATGCTTTTGGATCCTTTTTCAAGAATCAGATGGCTTGTTGAGCATAGTGGCACAACTTGTAATTCCAACACTCCATAAACTGAGGCAGGAAGATCATTGTGAATTTGAGAGCAGCCCAAATTACAGAGTTACAGAGTGAGACTATCTCAAAAAAAAAAAAAAAAATCAGACAACTGTAGTATGAAATTGTTTCTGTGTCCTCCAGTCTATTTCTTGGTCTATATGTCTATTTTTGTGCTGTTTTTGTTACCTTGGATTTGTAATATAATTTGAAATAATGTATTAAGATGTTTCTAGCCTTGCTGTCTTTTGCTTAGGATTGCTCTGGTTATTTTAGGGCTTTTGTGTATCTATATGAAGTTTTGGATTTTATTTCCTAGCTTCATTAGGAGCATCATTGGGATTTTGATGGAAACTACCTGAATTTGGAGACTGTTTTTCGGTAACATGATTCCTCTAACAAAATCAATTCTGAGGGCTATTGAGATAGCTCAGTGGACTAAGTGCCTGCTTAGGCAAGCACAGGGACCGGGCTTTGATCCCTGGCACCACAGGCCATGCTGGCCCCACCCCTGGGTGCGCTGAGCCAGCCACCAAGTCGGGGTGATACCTGTAGTCCCAGCGCTGGGGAGGCTGAAAACAGGAGGATCATTATAAGTCCAAGCTTCGTAGTGAGAACCTGTACCAAATATGTTTAAAAAAAATTCAATTCTGATAATCCATGAACAAAGGAGATCATTCAATCTCTAATGTTTCCTTTAGTTTCTTTCTTTAGAATGCCAAAATTTTTCACTGCAGAGGTCTTTCACTTCTTGGCTGATTGATTTCTAGTTTTTGTTTTGTTTTGTTGGTATTATGAATGGAATTGTTTTCTTGATTTCTTTCACTGCAAGTTCATTATTGGTATGTAGAAAAACTGTTGATTTTTTAATATTGATTTTGTATCTGGCTACATTGCCGAATTTATCAGCTGCAAATGCTTTTAGTATAGTCTTTAGGGTCCTCTAAGATAGGATAATATCTTTAAATAAGGATAACTTCATATCTTTTCCTGTTTTTATAAATTTTTCTTGCCTAATTGACCTAAAATTTCAAGTACTATATTAAACAGGAGTGAGGATAGTGGAGATCTTTAACTTATTCCTGATTTTAGAGGAAATGTTTTCATTTTTTTCCTTTATTCAGAATGATGTTATTTAGGGATTTGTCTTAATTAATCTTTAATATTTTACATTGAGGTATGACTGTTCAACACCTAGTTTCTTTAGGGATTTTATTATGAAAGAATACTCAAATTTGGCAAAGTTTGTTTTGCTGAAAGAGTTGTGATGATCATGACTTTTTTTTTTCTTTTTTTTCTTTTTGTGGAACCAGGGATTGAACTCAGGCTCTTGACTTTCCCAGGCAAGCGCTTATTCTACTGACCCATCTCCCTGGCCCTGATCATGACTTTTATTCTTGGTTCTATTTATGTGATGTATTACTTTTTATTGATGTGTATATATTGAACCAAAGACAATGATTTAAAATGATTTTAATGTATGTTCTTAAAAACAGATACATTAAGATACATCAAATAAGAGTCTACACCTGCAAGGCACTCATATCTATGAAGAAGCAGCTGTAGAAATAGACGTTGGGTGTCAAGAATGCTTAAATCAACATTATAGGAGGATAGCTGTAAGTGCCCAGTGCCTACCCAAAGAATGAAGAGACCAAGGATATAAAGATTGTTCCATTCATCACAGTGATTTCCATAGCAACACTCTGAAAACAATAAACACATGGGTAAGGTAGAGGGTGACAGGTTTGGAAGTCCTTCATCTAGGACTGCAATGAGGAGTTATAATGTAAATTTTATTATACTAGCAGGCTAATGGGAACCAGTCCCAAATCATCAGCCCAGAGTCAAGTAAACATGGAAAGTAAACCATGTCCACTATACAAATAGTATTAACTGTGCTGGGCCTTCTTACCTAAGTGTAGGCCCCACCAATGGAGCTGTTGCAGAAAAACTAATACCAAACCCAATGGAAGACTCTTTGCAATGAGGAGTTATAATGTAAATTTTATTATACTAGCAGGCTAATGGGAACCAGTCCCAAATCATCAGCCCAGAGTCAAGTTTACATCAGTTTAAATACAGTTTGCAAGTGGGAAGTACAAAGCTACATGTGTACATATTTTAAGTTGAAAAATACAGACACTGCAGCTGGATGTGCTCAAGCTGACCTGGCCAGCTATGTGGAAGAAGTAGCTGAATGTAGACAGCTAAGGTTAACTGAACCCAGCAGTCCAACTTTGAGACAAGCATCATGAGCCAAGTCATAGGCTATTAACTGATTTGTAACTGTTGGTATAAAATGTCTATAAATTTGCTCTTCTCTGATTTTGACCTTACAGTGTAATTTCCAAAATGCAGAGCTAAGGAACTGAAAGTGTTCATCTGCAGAAAAGATAGACTTCTCAGGGGTAAGAATCACTATAGTAGAGGATGAAATGAGGCCATGTATCTGGTCAAACCAGTTCGGAGGACCAAATAAAATGCAAGCCTCAGGAGGCCAGAGACCTAGCCAATACTAAAGGCTGGGCCAGCAGAATGCTTCTCAAGTTGTCACGCAGTGACACCTGGCTGAATCTGTCAGGGTTAGAAAATGAAGGGGGCAATGAAGACTCAAAGAGGGGAGGCAAGATGATATAAGAATTGCTACAAATAATTGGCCATTGTGGTGCATGCCTGTAATCCCAGCACTGGGGAGGCTGAGGCAGGAGGACTGCCTTGAGTTTGAAGCCACCCTTGATTACATAGCTAGTTCTAGCCCAGCATGGACTACATAACAAGACCCTGTCTCAAAAAAGCAAAAAACAAAAACATAGTGAGTTTAAGATCAGACTGAATTACAGAGCCAGACTCTGTCTGAAAAACAAATGAAAACTAACAACCAAAAAATTGCTTTAAAAACATTGGAAAAAAGGAAAGTAGGCAGGTAAAGTGTCTCTACTTTTCCCACAAATAATAAAAAAGAACATAACTAGCTATTTAATGTAATGACATCACAGAACAATTCCGAATTAATTCTCAAAACATCTATCTTTTCTGAAAAGATAGATGGTCTTTTCTAAAAATCACCTCCAAAGATAAAAGTTAGACATGTAAGACAAGAATGGCGCTGAGTCAGTAATTTCACTAATTTTGAATTTGCTTTGTCCTAAAGAAGCCAGCCACCACCTTCAGGGCACTCACCCTTGCACTCTGTCCACCAACACACAAATGCCACCCGCGATGCACTCCTGAAGGAGCTGACACAATGTTCCTTTAATGACGGGAAACACCTTCACGTTCCCCACACATTTCAGGAGTGTATCCACTACAGCGCTTCTGCGCCTACCCTCAGCCTGTAGTGCGCGGCCAGGGGACAGAGAAGCCTTTCAGGACTGGCCTCAGGGGCTCTCGGCAGCACACACACTGTCACTCTTCGTCACCCGCCCGGCCTATCCGCACACTCTCATCTAGTTGGCAGCTTGACCTCCAATCTGCACACACCTGTAGTCCGCGTCCTCCTCCCGGAGATCTCGCCACCTGGTCAGCAGCGCGGGAAAGCGGCCCCGGGCCCCTGGCCCGAGGGTCGACACCTGCATGCCGCACTGTGGGGCTGCCTGGCCCCGCCTGACCCTCCCAGTCTGCCCGGCTCCACTCACCGAGCGCCGGGTAGCTTGCTCCTTCGCCCGCCTCAGGCTTAGGGGGACGCGGACCAGACCGGCGACGCTCAAGTGAGCGCTGAGCGCACCGCCCCTTTGTGATGCGCCAACCAATCGCGAGCCTGCGCTCGCGCCGTCCTCCTATCAGTAAGGGGAGGTGGGGCAGACCTATGACGCCAGCGGTTGCTCGGACGCCTTGGCTGCGGGGGGGGGGGGGGGGGCAGATATGGAGTTGGTTGGAGAGGCCCGGATGTGGTGTCTGTGTCTAGCAACTGGGGACGCGGCCCCAGACTGCTTGGCACTACAGGGTTCTGGTGCGCTGCGCCTTACTAGGCCTGCACTGTGGACTTCACACTTACCTTTACCTGTGCTGCGCTGTCCCCACCACTCCTCAGTGGCCTCGCGTGGAAAGCGGGCACTCCACAGGGCTGGGTAGCTGGCGACGCATGTCACAGAGGCCTCATGGTCCGAGGGCAGTGTCGAAGTCTGGGTAACATGAACCAGATCGGACTGGTGGAGGGCTGTGCTTCTGGGTGATCAGTCCCGGATCAGCACTTCTGATCCTGGCTCAGTGGTTCCTCGCCATGAGTAATAGTGCAGCCCATAAGGAGCCAAACCCACCGGGGTCCCCCACGGTCAGGCTGCACAGTAGTTACCTTGGTGCTCTGAGCCTGGAAAGATCTGGGTATAGTCTACAAAACTGAATATCTCAACTTGGGCCAGATGGGATATCGCAAGATGGGAGTCACAAGATGAATTTAAAGTCTTGGCCTCCAGTCTCTGACCAAGTCCATTCTTAACATTACTTGGTACCTCCATGGTTCAAGAGCGAGGGCCAGATAGTTTACAAGAGCCTTTACATCCTCTCTCACCTTCACAACCTTCACAATCCTACAAGGATGGTACAGAACTGAACCTTTACCGACAGAGAAAGGCACAACACATTGTATATAGGTAGTTGTCACCAAATGGGTAAGCCAGATTTGAATGGGGCAGAATACAAAAATCCCAACCCAGTTCTATCCCACCCTGGTTCCAGACTTCAGCTTCATCTGGGAAGTTAGGCCACTGCCTAGCTGGTGGGTTATGGAGGGTGAGTTGAGCAGCACATAGGCCAGGGATGTGGTGCCCAACTATAATCTCAGCACTCTGTAAACAGACTGGACAATTTTGACATTTGTGAGTTTCAGACCAGCCTGACTACAAAGCAAGAACCAAGAGTAACATGAAGAGTGTCACCATAGGAACTTTGCCATACAATCCCTTTCCAAACTGCTCAAAATGCCAGCTTGTGTATTTTTAACCCTATTGTCTCCCGAATCCCTTACAATTAGTCCTAATAACTGAGATTTGCTCTCTCCAAAAGCAAAGGTTGATTTTAACAGTAACATAGGCTCAACCCTGGATGGGGGCTGGACATAGTGTGTTGTTTAGAACAGGCAGCTAAACACAAACATGCCTGAGAGAAGCAAGGGATTAGGAAGTACCTTCTTCCAAAAGCCTACTTTGCTAGCACAGGACCCAGCAGCTGACCCATCAGAACTGTACAGAAACTTTGACTCTGGGTATGGGTAACTACCAGAACTTTTTTTTTTTTTTTTTAAGGCAGGATCTTGCCATGTTGGGCTCAAACTTATGATCCTCTTGCCTCAGCCTCCCAGAGTGCTGGGATTTCAGCTTCCCAATCCAATTTCAATGCACAATAGGTCTCAGAGTTGGTGAGGTCAAGGCAGCTAGCCTACAGGATTGTTCCATTAGACTAAATACTCATCTGCATGACAGCACAGCCCAGGAAAGCACAGCAGGGATAAGGTGGGCCTTCCATATGGTTAGCAGCTACTGCCCACTCAACAGGACATGTCTGTTAGTGCAGTTTTCATGGAGACAGGATGTCCATTCTCAGTATGTTCCCTCTTCTGTGGCCTGGGGTCAAGCCTACTGATTCCAGAAGAAAGTGCAAAAAGGATGGAAATGGGCGCCTCCAAGGTGAGGGAGCAATTTCTTTAAGTGGTAGAAAATACTATCTTAGATGTGTGGGCTGCCCTGATGACAATCTCAGCTTTAGCTCTGGCAGTTTGTGGACTGAATGCAGGTAGACAATATGCAAAGGAATTGGTGTGTTTGTGTCTCAAAAACACTTTACTTACACAGCAGAAGATGCAGTCACTGCTTGTAAAACCTTTCCCTAGAGGACTTGCAGGGGTTGGAGTTCAGTGGAAACCAGTTCTTTGAAGACTAAGACTCATGAAGCATAATATCACTTGTATCTCACATCTACCCAGACCCTGACTAAGCCACAGGGCACCCACTCTCTAACACAGATCTCCCTTGTGTGGCATTTGCTTCTGTGGGATTCTGTGGGCAGCTGCGAAAGTGACAAGTGAATTTTTCTGTAATATGCCCTAATCTTACTGTGGCCCTAGTGAATAAAATCCAACCAACCACTGTGAAACATTTATTTTTGTTTTGCAGTATAAGCTTGATTAAAATCAGCGCAAAATGATACTAAGTGCACAGCGTAAAAGGTGAGCTAGCTGTTTTAGCATTTGTCTTTTGACAACAAGCACGTATGTCAGTATCTCTTAACTCAAAGATGTAGCTGAAGGTGAGACACAGATACAGCACAGGTTCTACTGGCCTCCGAAAGCATTCAGGGGATCATCAAATATGTTGGACACCTTGCGTTCTGGTCTTGGTTCAGGTGCTGTCTGTACAGGTCGGCTTTTTGGTTTGGTTGTCTTAGTCTGGAGACCAGAGGAGAAGATATCATCTTTGAAAAGAAATAAAAAAGTTGTTTAATAGGCAAGAAAACAGGAACTTTTAAGATATGTTCACACAAACAACTAGAGACTGAGTTCTGGTAACAGTACAAGGTACCAAAAACACTGATACATAAGTCCAGGTCCTGCCTCAGTTCCTAAGTTTTATGACCACATGCAAGTTGTCATTTCCCTCTGCCACCAAGTGTGTATATTATGTATGTGCAGGAGTGGCTAAAGGGAAACCTGACTGGATCTCTAATGGGACAATTGACTTATTTCTATTTTCTTTTCACTTTGGATTTTAAAAGGAAAGAGTAAAAAGGATATGTGCAGGGAGCCCAACATATAATTCACTTTCCTTCAGAATAAAAACATTGATTTAAGGCATCATGGAAAGAATGAAGTCTTCAAGACTATACCTGTGTAGTGTTTCAGTGACTAAAATCTGTCTTGGTTATGCTGCTGGATAGTGATGTTACTGCTAGGATTCTGCCAGACCAAAAATTTCTGCATGTGTACATAAAGTCAAGTGTACACAAATAGTAAAAGCCATGGCATTATTTGTATTAGAGAAAATTTAGATTGCCATTCACATGCTAAATACATAGCAATACTTTAAAACCACCAAAATCAAGAAGTTTATGTACTGACAAAAGTATTTGACTAAAACGAACAGAAGAACAGGTAAAGTGTATTCTTATTTAAGAAAAAACAAACAAACAAATATATACATATATATATGTATCACCATACCTGAAAGCATACACCAAATTGAATAATGGTTACTGCAAAGGGCTGTTTGCTTCATACTTTTTTTAATGTATTAATATAGGGTCTACAGGATCTCACTAGGTAGATCGGACTCATAGTGATTCTCCTGTTTTCAGCCTCCCAAGCACTGGGATTACAGGTGCATGCCAGCACGTTCAGTCTCAATTGCTGTCTCGGCATACCCTGGGTCTGGCAGGGCATGCCAGGGATGGAACCCTGGCCACTGCGCTCTGCCTAAGCAGGAGCTTTAATCTGATGACCTATCTGGCCAGCCCCATACTTTCGAAACTGTTTATCACCATAACCATGTGAGATCACATTTCTGGAAATAAGAGAGACATGAAGTTTTTTCACACCCATGATGGGAAGCAAGGGACGGTGCCTGCTTGCTGTGGAGCAGCCTGACCTGGCAGGGCTGACTTAGGAATTTGAGAGCCTGTAGGAACAGTGCACCTGGGCTCAGCCCAAGTCTACCCAGTTGCCATTCGAAGCCCTGCCTCTATGGGTATGGGACATCTGGCTTTCTCCTCTGCTAGGCAGGGATTGCAGTATGTACACAAGGAAAAGAACCAGGGAGATGCAGAGTTGGGACAATGGCTCTGTTCCCCATGTTCTGCCCCTGTCTCTAAAATGGTAGCCCTAACTCTCTAGCTAGAACTGATTTAACAACTCCCTGGCCCCAAGTAGCTGCCTCAGTCTGCAAAGTGTTTAGAACCTCCTTTGCCACAAGACAGTGTGTGACAGATGGTGTACAATTAAAATTGTGCTGAGAGGCTCGATTCTGGGTACCTGCACATTCCCCAGTGCACCATGCCAAAAGGCTGCTTCTCCTGGGTGTCTAGCCAGTGGACTTACTTACCTGACTCAGGTTCACATAGCAAGTAAGGCCCTGGCCCAGAAGGAAGGGGCCTGACAAGACCAGGCATCACACACTATTGATTCTCTACGGCCAAGGTAGAAAACCAGACTTACCCATATCATCATCGAAGATAGACTTAGCTTCTACTTTCTTTTTAGACTTTCCTTTTGGTTTTAGGGTTAAGTCAGCAAAGATATCAATGTTATCATCAAGTAAGCTGGGTTCCAAGTTTTTCTCCTTCTCTCTCTTTTTTTGTAAGGGTTTAATTGCTTCTGTAGCAAATATATCATCCTTGTTAAGGAAAAAAAATATATGTATTTGTTGTTGCTACTAAAAACATCTCACAAGTTCTATAAATGCACACTGCCAGACAACCTGCCTGGTCTAGCAAGTGCTGCTCAGATCTGCACTTAGCCTGCCACAGCTCAGACACCAGTCCCACTCCCATGCTTTCAGCACACTCAGTGCTATCTGAGAATGTCCTGATCATCTGCTGCCCTGTTTGTGTCTCATGCCTCTCCTTGAGTCCTCTGGGGAGCAGGGCACCCATCCTAGTTCACCTTATACTTGGGATGTTCGATATCTGCCAGGTAGCTCTTAGGTAAGGCCTTTGTCCCTGGGCCTCTGCTAAACCAGCAGAAGCAGTGTCACACACACCTACATACTTCTCATATGCTCCAGAGCTGCATGCTGATGGCAGCAAAGGGCTATAAATAAATCAAGCTCTGCAACCAAGATCAAGGGCTGGGCTGTATATCAGGGGTGGAGCACTTGCCTAATGGTTGCAAGGCTACGAGTTCAATCTCAGCACCTCCCCATTACCTTGTGTCGAAGACTATGGTGAAGAACAAGTACTCCTACATGAAACAAAGAAATGCTTCTGAGTAAAGGTAGAGTTTTTTTTTAAAACAGAGATGTGAATCACTAGGCAAGTAGACAACATGCATACACACAACAAGCTGAATAAAGCCCCAGTTCAAGTGCGCCATGTTGTATTTTTTACCTCAAAAATATCTTCTACTTTTGATACAACATCCTGCTGATCACTGAACTTGGGCTCATTCTTCTTGCCTTTCTGATCAGTAAAGAGATCATCCTCGTCATCCAGGAGGGGGAAGAGGTTTGTTTTCTTTGCTGGTCTTGGCTTAACGGACTGAAAAAGATCATCATCACTGCCAGCTTCGCCAAGGGCAGGAAACAGGGGGCTTTTTTCTTTTCCTCCCTCAGCTGGGTGGGCTGAGGTCTCTGTGGCCTTCACCTTGGCTTTGGTTCTCTCTGTGGACTGTGATCTTGTGCCCTTGGAAAAGATGTCCTCAGAATCAAACAGGTCAGCCTCGCCCGCAGGCTGGCCCAAGGGCATCCCAAAGGGGTTACTGTCCATCATAGGTGCAGGATGGCTTTCCCTGGGTGGAATGGCAGCAGCTGCAGCTTCCTCAGACCCAACTTCTCTGCTGGCCACTCTGTGATGAAGCTGACAGTCACTGGATTTAACAGCACCACCTGCCAACTGTGTGATGGGGCCTCCAGGGACACCTGTGTCCTCAGCTTCACTGGACTCTTGGGCAGCCAGTCGCCTGGCTGCACGGGTCTGTGGCCTACGCTTCCCTCTCACTTTGACACGGCTCTGCAATACATAGAAAACACTACACATGTACTTGATGAGAAAGTGTTCAAAGCCAATACAGCAAGAATCATGGACTCAAAATACTGCATGGGTATTTTTGCTCTTGTTGCGTTTGCCGTTTTCTGGTGCCATGAACTTTTGCGTTCTGTCATGTGCCACCCTGCCATGTAGCCAGTTGAGTATGGACTGAAATTTCCACAAACTGTGAGCCAAATAAACCTTTCCCTCTTAAAACAACAACAACTGCATGGGTATCTGACCTGCATCAGTTACTACCTACTATGCACATTATTTCTCTCTTAAGGATTTCCAAAGAAGGAGTTTTTAGGTCTTGCTACTACAAGATTTTTTCTTAGTACTTTACGTTCTCCATTCTTGGGCCTTAGGGCAGTTTTAATTTAATTTCAAACAAGAAGCTTCAGTGGTTACTGGAGACCCAGGAATGGGCATATGAGTATTCTATGACCCACAGCATTCCCTGGTGCCCCCTCACCCCTCAATTCAATTATCAGCATATTTCCAAATAAGAAATATTGGAAGAACTCTGGTATTAGTATTTTTTCAGGCTCCAGGACAGGAAAATGTACATTAAAAAGAAAAGTAATCCCAAGTGCTTTCTTCAATAAACACTAAGTATTGAGTTCCAAAAATATAGCCCAGGAATCAGATCATATTATAATCTGTTGTGATATTTTCCAAAATACACAAGTTGAGTTCTGAGAAGGTACAACCTATGTTGAGCAAAGCACTTGTCTCTCTACTCTAAGGAAATTTTTAAATAAATTTATGAAGCAGCCAATTTAAATGAAACAATCAAAAAGAGGTAACAGAAATTATCAACAAAAGGAAGGATGTTCTATTTTTCTTTTTTGCCAAGGAAAACAGATTTGGAATCCTTGAGTGTATCTACCCGGGGTCAGGTCATGCTAGATCCTGTCACTAACTCAGGTCAGCTAAGACTTCCTAGGAAAGGAAGATAACTGCATAGGAAAGGGAAAAGCATCAACATGAAAAGAACACAGGCTGAAATTTGGAGTCCATGGAGCAGAAGCTATAATCTGTGACAACTTTCCTAGCAGGGTAGGAAAGTGTCCCAGGACCTTGGAGTTGGGAGCCCAGGGTACAAGGCAGGCTGGGCAAGGCCACAGTCATGGGAGGCCCTGAGTGAGGATGTGAGAGGGGGATTCACAGAGAAAACATGGCCAGTGGGCAACAGTGCGTGGGGATAGAGGTTGGTGTGTAGGGCCAGAAGCGACTGCAAGTGGGGGTGTCTGGATCGCGGCTGGGCTCTTCCACCAAGTCAGGAGCCAGTGTTCTCTCGAAGTTCTCCCTGCCTCAGGGACACAAGCACACAGTGGGTAAAGGATACCAACTGAGTCTAGGGGACTTCAGCATGGCTACTGTACAAAATGTAAATGGAACAAAATAGGTGATAGGAAAAGCATAACTGGCGAAGTGGAGAGCAGCAAGCAGGAGGGAGGAAGAAGCGAGGCCGAATGAAGGATGGGGTCCTTCTTCAAACTGGTCACCTGAGCGGACCACTATGTTTAACTCATGGACCCAGAAGAGGCAACCAGGCCACTCTGCTGAGGGCAAAGGAGGCACAGAAGGTCGCATTACCTTGTTGACACTGTGTAAGGTGTCAGTCTGTGCGGGAAGATCAAAGCTCACACTGGCTTCCCCGGGGTCTGAGGGAGCAGGCTGACCATCCACGCTGGGGCTCCATCCAAGGTCCACAGAAGGAAGAGCCAATTCTGGAGAAATAGGCTTTGCTCCCGAGACCTGGGGAGCTCCTCCAGGCAACAAGGCTGCAGGGTTAATTGCTAAATTTGCCTGAGGAAGAAAAACACAAGTTGGTATTTGTTGTTAAATACAGCAGTGTATTATCTCTGGGACATATGATGAGACTCAGTGCTTATGATGTGGAATGTGAGAGAAATGTACAAAAACCACCTGACCCAGAGTCAGAATTAGACCAGAGCACAACACACCTGAGACTAGGACAAAGAAGAGATGTTAAAAGACATGGCACACAAAAGCAACAATCGGAAGGGTGCAAGGTTTGCTGGGGCAGGAGGCAAAGATGAGAAAACGCTTGCAGCAGCTGGAGAAAGTGAAACTCCAAAGTAGGTTTACATATGCTACCAGGCAGGCAATGAAGGTTCTGTTATAATTACTTGTATTTTCCCGATTCGAGTGGACGGTTCTTTGGTTTTAAATGGAGCGAGACCTGATGAATCCTGTGTGAAATTACAATCAGTTAATGATCCATGGGGAACAGGGAGCAAAGTGTCTTCTGGGTTACACTGAAGCCTGCAGACAGATTTGGGGTGGAGCAACACTGTCACTTTCCTGCAGAACACACAGATCCCTCCCTAGGCCTCATACTTCGTTAGTGACTGTTGGCTATAGCCATCCTCCGGTGCGAAGGTGTAAGGCTGTCAGTCACACACAGCACAGTGGGAAACACGAAGGGCTAGGGTTCCCAGGAGCTGTAATTTGTCAGAATAAAGCCTGACCACTAGCGAATCATCATGCTGGCTGTCCCACAGCAGGCATCAGAGCATGGACTCTCCATGGCCTGGTCTGGCCTTCCAGGCATCTGATCTCTGGGATGAATGAATGGCGATGTGACAGCCTGAAGGCCTCCTTGTTCACAGTTCTGGAAAGACTCAGAGGGGACTGACAGCCAGCACCCTGGAAGAAGTGGCCATCAATGCAATTCCCAATACCTCTAACTTAATTCAACTCCAAGGGAGCTGAGAAAGAGGACAGGAAGCTCTGCACCTTCCCTGTGCTCTAACTAGGAGCAGAATCTGGAATCAGATCAGAAGATAGTGACTGGTACAGACTGGTGAGACTGTAGTGGAGTGTGGGGGAGGGGAGGAAGAGAGATGAACAGGGATAAAAGATTCAGCAAAAAATGAGGCTCTAGCAGCTGTCTATTATCACTTGACCGGTACTTAGGTATGACAAGAGCTGGAAATCCTTAAAATATCTAACCTGTGCTGCTTCTGGTTTCCATACACTTTTCTCTTTGCTACCTTGGGTGGATTCCAGATGCTTCTGGTTCTTGGAAGACGAGGCAATGTGGTCTCTTTTTACTACCTTCTTTTTTTCTGGTACCTACAAAAGGAAAGAAATATAAAATATGGCCTGTATCTTAAAAATTTTAAAGAAAAATTATAATTCAAGAAGGAACAATTTCTGGATTTAAAAAATTCTCTTCTCCAGGGAGGGTTGGGCAGCTCTAAAGTAGCATTTCAGAAAAAACATTCTGAAGGTTATGATTTCCAGGGCTGGGAGTGCAGCTTGGTGGTAAAGTGCCTGTCTACCATGCCCAAGGTCCTAGGTATCGTGCCCAGTACCACAAAGGCAAAGGGAGAAAGAAAAAGCAAAGAAGAAAGAAGACTGTGACTTTCACAAGGGTCCTCTCTCTGATAAAAACAAAACTTAGTGGGGCAGAAGGAAAAAAAAACATGTGGATTAGAACTCAAATTAAAGGCTTGTAAGCAAAAAGCACTAAAACAGAGTTACCAGAGCAAATGCAATGTTCGTTCAATACATCAAACATGTTGGTAACAGTCAGAGGGCCTGGGTCGGTGACTGCTTTAATGTTAGTGAGGGAACACAGGATGGGCAGCCATATAAATGGACTCTCAGGTCCCACATGTGATGCTACCAGCACATTTAGCTGCTACTCGCTTATGATCAGGTACCACAACACTGCACGTTCCCTGTCCTTTGATAAATGGACATTATTTTCCTCCTTCACATCCCTGAATACAGAGAAAAGATTGATACCGCAGGCTGGGTCTTGGCAGAGCTGAAAAGATCGTCATCTTCATCATCACCAAACAAGTTCCCCATGTTGGGCTCTGCCAACTGAACAGACAACATGAGATTCAGCACCAATAAAGGAGAGGGGGTAGAGTAAGTGGGGTGAGCCTCTAGGATGGTATCTACCAGAGTGACAAAGCCGTCCTGTGGGAGCAGAGGGGAACTGACCCTGTTTTTTTTGGTGCCAGCAAAAAGGTCAACATCTGGGTCATTGTCCTTTTGGAGCTTGTGGCTGAAAAGGAGCTCTTCATCCTGGAAGACACCTGTGCTCTTGGGCCGGGCATCAGGATCAGGACCCTGGGCAAAAGATTGAGAACATGGTGACTATGTTTCTAAGGATGAAGCGCACAAAAATCACATGTTCAAAGACAGACACCACAAGCATGTGCCCTATAGCTTCCAGTATGCTGGCAAAAGGCCAGGCATGGCCTCAGTGCCCAGCAGCATGGGAACAACACATTCACATAGCATAACACTATGAGTATGTAATGCAAGAATTTCTAACTATATTTAGAGTTGTGGAAATACCACCACAATCAAAGTTTAGAGCATTCTCTTCATCTCCAAAGAAACCCTGAACAACTCACTTTCCATCCCTACCCACCCTTTCCACTCAGTCCCATGCAACCATTCATTTACTTTGGGTCTTCATGGGGTACCATGTGGTAATTGGATGTGCAGGTATAGGGTAATGGTGACATCAGGGTAATTAGCATTTCCAGTTCCTTAAACATTTATCACTTGTATCAGAAGCCTTAGAACTCCTTTCCTCCAGTTCTTTATAAGATATAAGCAATAAACAAATACAAATTACTGTGCATGGCCTACAACCACCCTATGGTACTATACAACATAAGAACTCACTCCTATTTATTGTACTTCTACACTGGGAAATAATACAGTAGCTTTGTTGAAGGGGGATACTCCAGGACCCTCCGCCAATGCCTTAAACCCTGGATAGCACTGAACACGCTAGTGCCTTTTCTATTCTCAGCACCTGGTAGGGTATAACTTACAGTTTGAGATGTAACAGCAAAACTTGGCATGAATTCTTTCCTTTGTAGTTTCACAGACAGAAAATTTGTTCTTTTGGGGGGGGGTCTACAATAATTTTATTGTAACAGAGAAACCAGGCTGCAGTAAGTGTACATGATTAGAGCAGATGGTGGTGATCTCGTAAAGGCTGAAGTGCACCTTCCTTCCTGATGCTGCCCTGACTGCCCAGCTGTGAGTGGGAGGAGCGGCGGTGAGCAGCACACACTGGGGAAGGGAGCGGTCTGGCTGGCAGGGACAGTGACACCGCCACTGAAGCAGATCCTGCAGTGCAGTGACCTACTCTCCACTATTCTTCACTAAGAAAGGAGAAGGAATGGCATGAGCAGAGAATTATGGTTTTCATTCTTAAATAAATCCTGATAGGATGGGGTTGATGGTCAATCACAGTAGAATGGGGTGAATATCTGGCTAGATGTAATAGGTCTTCATGACTAAAGAAAAGTACAGCAATGATAAAGAGGAAAGCCTTCTCTCTCCTTTTCTTAAATAAGACAGAAAATTTGTTCTTATCATTGAACTTAAGAGCTTGTGTACAGGATTTGGTTTCTTTACTGGGGCCCAGAATTTTTCCTTTCACTCATGGGAGGTACTTCACTGGTTCTCTCTGGCATATCTGAATTGCCAGCATCATTCTTTCTAGCTCTGTGGCCATGATTATGGACAGTAAGGTTTCCTCACTTACAGGTACGAGAATATGGCCAAGATGCTAAGAGTCAGTCTGGTAACCATGACAGCTACTATTTAATTACCCAGGCAGCCTATACACCATGGCTATGCTGCCAGTACACGATGAGGTCCTTCAAGTCCTGGGCAGCAGGGATCAAGATGACGTGAAGCTCCATCAAGCTTCTCAAGAGAAGTACAAGAAAAACTAGGTGCTCATTTCTGAAATTCACATTTTCCACTTTCAGACTTTTCTCTAGGTAACTTAGAGAAAAGTTAAAACTGCGAAAAGTGAAGCCGTGAGTAGGAGGATCTCTGTCCCTCACTGCGGAGACCTGCTGCCCCAGGGGCCCATCCACGGAGGGTACACATCTGAGCTGTTGCCATGGTTTTGCTTCTGTGCACAATCCTGCTGGGAATATCCAGCACACATCCATGTGAACATATTTTCGTCTCTCTTAGATATACACCAAGGTGAAGACTGGTGGTGCCATGTGGCAACTCCGTTTTAGCAACTTTTGCGACCATGATGCTGATTACCAAAGTGTCTGGACCATTCATAGTCCAGTCCCTCCACACCCTGCCAACACCGGCTATTTTTTTTTTTTCTAGTGACAACCTTCCTGAGGAATGCCTCGCTGAGGTTCTGGTTCACTAATAACTGACAAGGCTGAGTGTCTTTTCATGTGTTTTAGCTATTTGCAGCCATCTTCTTTGTACTGGATTATCTTTTAATGATTGAGTTGTTAACTTTATTTTATGTATTCTGTGTGTACATGTAGTATCAAGTATACCACATGCATGATATGAAAATATTTCTATCAAAATGCATGATATGACGACATTTCTCACATCCATGGATCATCTTTTTATTTTTTTGATGGTGTTCTTAGAAGCACAATTTCAGTTTTCATTTTAATGCAGTCCATTTTGGCCATTTATTCTTTTCTCGTTTGTGTCCTATCTGACAAAGCTCTCCCTAATCCAAGGTCAGGATGATTTTTTTTTACATTTTCTTGTAAGAGTTGTATAATTTTAATTCTTACACTTGTGTCTGTGATTCTTTCTGTGTCTTATTTCTGCGTGTGGTGTGAGGTAAGGGTCCAGCTTCATTCTTTTGCACGGAGATAACCAGTATGCCAGCAACATCTGTTGAAATGGTTGCTAGAAGTACTTAAGTGCACACATCCGGCTTGACTTCCCTCTCCCCTTAGTAACATCCTTTTCCGGTCAAGAGGCAAAGGTTTGCTAGGAGCACCTAGCAGAGGCACACGGCATCCTAATGCCCTCCCCCATAGAACTCCTCGATGGAAGTCACTGATTAGATTTCCAAACATCTGAATGACTGAACAGAATCATTTACACTGTTCTAAAGCCTGAGATTTCTTCCTTAACTCATGACAGAACACCACAAAATAAGATCCTTTTACCATGTCTACAGATTCGAACCTGTGTTCCTCCTGCTCACCTTCCCCACTTCTATCTGTGGAACACGGGAGCTGTCTGGATCTTCCATTTTATCCTCTTCCTCATCAAACAAGCTAAGGACAGTTTTAGTTCTACCTTTGGTTCCTTTGTCCAATGGGGACACTGGAGAAAACAAATCAGAATGCCTGATGGCTTCCTGGGCAGATGCAGTCAAAAGTCCTTCCTAAAAATGGAAATAGTAAGGGAAAGGGTAAGTAATAAACGTAAAGTAAAAATCTGATCCTGGCATCTTCCCACTCCTTATGAATTCCACAGCTGCCACAATGGCAGGAATCAGGGCACTGTAGCTAGTCACATCTACTCCATTTCGCAAAACAGTGAGGTAAGTACTTGGCTGGCTGTGCCACTGAATAATCTTATACAGCCAATGACTATCAAAGATAATTTCTCCAAATACTTTAAGGGTGTAGGTCCCTCTTTCCTTCCAGGTCAGTCAGAACTCTGCTGCACACAGGTTGCTTATGAACTAGAAGGAACTTTTAAGTCACACAGACAACAAACATCTGTCACTGCAAGTGGATCCCCGTGATTCACAACATTTAACTAACACATTACCTAGGTCCCAAAAGGAGCCCCAAGCAGAAAAACCAGACATTCAGATTGTAGGCTATGATTGTATATACAATTAGGATAATTTCCAAAATAATCCTAACACATTTATTCATTCCATAGGATCGCAATTCAACTGCAATACTATTGGTCATACAAAAGCACTATTATTCTATGTACACCTTGGAAGGAGACTGACTACTAATTTAACCTGTCATAGATTGTGAGGGTACCCTAATTTCAGCATGGCCAAATGGGACCAATGTGCTTTTCTGACACAGTACACAAGTAAGATGGTGCCTATTATGTGCAAGGTAGAATGTAAAGTAAAAGATGTAGTGGTGAGCAAAGCCAGCCCAGGCCTGTGAAGTGGATATGCATGTGAGGGAAAGAGTACAGCGCAGGTGGCAGAGACATGTGGGACGGGCTAGGACAGGACAGTGCAGGTCCACACAAGATGGTCCACACGGAGTCACCGGAGAGAACAGGTCACAGTGACGGGCCACAGGGAAACATCTGTTCCTCAGGAAGAGTAATGCGCATTCTTCCCTCAGGCCAAAGACAGAGTGAAGATACACACACGGCGTATGAGAAGAGTCACAAACATAGAGAACAGAGATGGATGGCGACTGTGGCTCCTGGACTCTCAGTTGTGGTCAGTGGCATTTGCACAGGCCCCAGCCAGGTATGGCTGTTAGGAGAAGAGCACCAGCGTTTGAGAAGACACATTTCACCTTGCTCTGCAATTCACAACCAGAATCAACTAGAAATGTAAGAATATGAAACTAATCTTTGTAAAACTGACATAATTCAAACATAGGTAAGGAAAACAGGAGTTAAAGGAAGCAGAAAAACTGCAGAGAAGAGAAGCCAGAGAAGAGCAAAGATGTGCAGAGAAGACAGGACATGATTCCAGGAGGTGCACCCTGGAGGGAAGAACACACACACTGACAGGACTTCACAGGACAGGAAGTGTGCCTAAGACAGGAACCAAAGCCGGCCTGTGGGAAGGCTTCTGCAACCCCAGGGGAGCCCTGGCTGCCTTCTCACTTTCTACGGCTTTCACATCTTTCCATGCACAAGGCACTGGTTTTCTGTGGTGGTGAAAGTGAGTGAGTGAGTGAGTGAGTGTGTGTGTGTGTGTGTGTGTTATGGAGAGACACAGCAACAATTGGACACCACTGCATTAGGGAACTAGAGGACAAGGCCTACCTTCTCCAGCTCTTGAGCCCCATCCGTTCTCTGCAGCATGGAGGGGACAATGGGGCTCTCAGCCTTCTGACCCACAGGTCTTGTGGCAAACTGCAGCTCCTTCTCTTCCTCATCGCTGAACAGCAAAGGCAGTGCTTCACGAGCAGTGTCTTTTTTCTAGCAAACCAAAAGCAAAATCTTTCCTGTAATAAACTTATTTTCTCTCCATTACCTCATCTTATGCTCAGCTAAAAACTCATAGCAGCCTGTGACAGGGACACCTTTATGTGGTGTGACTAGTGGGAGAAAATGACATCACTGAGACATGCTTTTCAGACCTAGCCCCTTCTTCTCTGTTTCCTGGTCAACATGAGGTATGCATTTTCTCGACCTCATGCTCCTGCCACGATGGAAAGTGCCCTAACAGGCCACAGAACAGGCCAACCAACCAAACTGAAACTGAAATCTAGAGCCAAAACAAACCTTTCCTCCTCCTTCCTGAGTATCTCAGGTGCCCTTATCTGCCACAGTGAGGGAAAGCTGCCCAACGCATGCGGTAAGGAGCTGCACAAACTGCAGCAGCACTGCAGGCCCTGGGGCTCCGTCTCTCAGGAGTGGAGCTTCACGTCCCGGCAGCTGCTTCAGTGCACTGCCTCACATTTTCCTACTGGCTCTGCACAATGTCCTTCACATCAACACCACCCCTAACCAGAGCTCGTTCTGCACCAGGCAAACAAGTTCTCCCTGAGGCTGAGTCACCCTGGTGGGCAGTGGGACCCTGAGAACATTTTTCAGGGCTGAGAGAGGAAAAGTACCGGTGCTGCAGGAGGAACAGAGGCGGGGGGAGAGCCAAACAGAGAGCTTCCATTGTCTGTGTCATCTTCAAACAGGAGGGACACTCTCTGGGTCTTCTTTTGGCTACAAGAGCAAACAAAAAGGTCAAATTCAGGGCAGACATGATCCACGAGCAAACAGTGTCATTTCTAGGTTAGACCTATGGTCAGCCACATGCCCTACGCAGCTGAGAACAGACAGGAAACACAAGTAACTGGGCTTTGCTTCTCTGGCATGTGACTGCTTCACCTGGCTACTGGCCTGTCACTCACTGCTAGTGCAGGTGTACCAGCTGTGAGCCTTGTGGCATCAGAGCAAGGGAAGACAGGGAGCAGACTGCCTATGTACAGCGTGGTCAAGAAGGGCATGGCCAGGTTCACGACGTGAGGCTGTGGCCTACGTGTTATCTTTTTCATGGGAGCTTTGCTAAGAGTTTTTACACCATAAAATCAACCACCCATGGCAGTGGGTTTCTCTGACACCCAGAGTTATGCACAATCACCACAACCCCAGCATTTCCATCATCTAGAAACTCCAGGTCACGGGCAGTGTCACTCTACACCTCCTTTCCCCTCAAACCCTGGTAGCCACAATCCACCTCCTGTCTCCACAATGTTATGCATCTTGGACATATCTTATCAGGGGAATTAGATAATTTACGGTCTCCTGTGGCTGGCTCGTCTCCTGAACACAGCATTTTCTAAGTTGATTTACTTCCCAACATATATTACTATGTCACCTCTTTTCACTGGGTGCTGAAGTTCACTGTGTTTACCCATTCACAGCTGATAGCCATGGCAGGGCAAAACCTACGCCTTTTCCTGCTGTAATGCTATTGTAACTATTCATATGCAAGTTTTTACATGAACACTTGTTTTCATTTCTCTTAGATATACACCTAAGGGTGGATTACTGGGTCATGAATAACTACATTTTGGTCAAAAATAGCTCTAAAATTTCGAGAAAATGCAAGCCATATGGCTTTAACATTTCAGCCTTCCACCAGTAGTGGATGGGGTTCCAATTCCCCC